AGGCTCCTTGCGGCTTCGGCGTGTGCTGGGAGATGAGGTGACTGCCTCGAAATCCAAAGCTGCCTGCAGAAGTTGGCCAATAGTCTCTTCACACTTGTCTATGGATCTGCGAAGGCCTTTGATGTTATCAAGTTCCTGTTCCTCTGCTCTGGTCCTTCGGCCATGCTTGCTCTGCCTTGATGTGATTGCATCCACGCACGCAGAGAGAACCACCACATTGTTCTCTCGGGACCCGTGAGAAGTGGCATAAGCCTTCACTTGGCCAAGATGCCAGAGCTCCGGAAATGAAAAAGGAAGCTGGCGCCTCTCCTTGAGAGGGAAAAGCAGCAGAATCTCTGCCGGCTCCACGACAAGTGGGATAGCGTGATCTTTGCCCTTCCCACGTCTGCTTAACGCCTGAAGAAGGCCAGACTCAAGCAGCTTGCTCCACATGGTCTCACGGTCGAGATTGGGAGCATCTGCTGGCAGCTTGACATGGTTGATGAACATGGACTTTGTGCATGCAAAAATGCCTTTCTGCCAGCAGTAGTCAATGATGCTTTTTTGAACGGAAGCGCACTGCGCACGCAAATTTTCTCCGTGCTCAGAATCGGCCTCGGGCAGCAGGCCTGGCGCGATTGTCTCTGTCCGCGCACGAGCCTGCAGGCTGCAGGCAGCGCGCATTTTATCTTCCGTGAGCCCAGCATCCCCACCCAAGCCTGCGTAATTCTCAATCAAGCTCAGGCACTGCTCGCGGCCGAACTTCATCTCAAACCCGTGCTGGAGGACCAGACTGGCTGCAATGGCTGGCCCAGACACGAGGAACTCTTTCAAAGATGGATCTTTTGGGAAGTAGCCATCAAGATGCGAGTCTGGGTAATGGTCGGCCAAGAAGCATGCTGCAACAAACCGGGCTTTGGCAAGCCACACGAAGCTACGGCGCAAGATTGATGGGAAGTTGTGCTCGGAAACGCCTTTGAAAGGCATGAACCTGTTCACCTCCATCCGCTTCCAGCCAACGAGCTCTATCATGCGGGTGATATAGCCGTACGGGCGCCGGCCCGCAATCCCATCTGCACTCATTGTTTTCTTGTATAGGTCCTCACGCATTTTTCGCGTGGTTTCCGGGGCCTCCTGGGCAGTCAGAATCACGGCGTGAGCAAACTGCTCCACTTGCTTGCGTAGTTCCTGATCATCGAACCAGATGTTGGGATCAATGTAGGCATGGTTCTGGCCGTAAACTGCGTTGAGGTGCGCGGAGTACAAGCTCTGCCCAACGCCGCCGGGGCTCTGCCCTATAAAGCACCGGTCAATGTTCTCACCCCGCTTGGCGAGCGCCTGCGCTGCCTGGCAGCACAAGAACACGTCAGTGTTCGCCCAGAACGTCTGCCTGAGGAATTTGTCAAGGCGGGCTGTTGCTTCCTGAAGAAAGGGGTCTGGCAGCGCTGGCTTCAGGGCATGTGGAATGAGCAAGTAGATGTTGTTGTCAGGGTGAGGCGAGCACAACTCCACGCTGCAGCTACGATCATACCGCACACAGGTGTCCAAGTAGGCGCACCCAGGCTGTTGCTTTCTTGGGGTTTCACACCACTCGTTGATCAGACGGTAGATCTGCTCATTCATGATCTCTCGCTGCAAGTTTTGGCTCAGTTTTAGCATGGCCGCAGCACAGTGATCTGCCCAGCTTTTGTCGGTGTGAATTTCTCGAGGAGCTTCTTCAGCCCCTGCCCCGGGAAGTCTTGCAGCCTCAATACGCGGCCTCCCCGCTGCCTCGTCTCTGCAGCTGCGCACGCCCGCGTCACACAAGGCGTCCAAAAACCTGTCCACGTCGCCGCCATGGACCTCCATCATGCGCTGAGCTGCTCCAGCCAAGGAAGGCAAGTCAGGTCTGACATCAGTGGGGAGCTCTCGCAGGAAGCCTTCTAATTGAAGGAGGAACTCCTTTAAGCGAGCAACAGTCTGTTCGTGAGGGCAGCCACGGTACACCTGAAAGGCCCCAGCTTCGTGGTAGAGGTAGCACTGGCCGCTGTGGGAGCGTATGTACCTTCCCCCCTGCATGAGCCAAATGAATAGAATGTGCTCTCTCACATATGCATCGGCCAACCTCACCCGTGGGAGAACACACGCAGTTGCCACAAGTCGACGAAGCTGCTCTGACCAAGTGGGCTGGAGCTGCAGCATCTCGGCCAGAACGTGCTGCGTCTGGCTGAGGATGGAGTAAGACCTGGACTCTGCCCGGGCCGGCCTAATGTTGCGCAAGGCCTCGCTGGCCAACCGGCGTTGTTCCTCAAATGTTTCTTCAAAGAGGCGGGCAGACTCGCCTGCGCCTGGAAGCAGCCTACGCTTCTTACAGGCTTCGAGCTGAAGGTCACGCGGACAAGGAGGCTCCTCCTGGGAAGAATGAAGCTGGGCCTGCTCGCTACCTGGCGTGGCAACGCCGGCAACGTTGTCTTCTTCACCTGCAGGAAGTTCACCAATTTCAGGCAGACCAGATTCCTGGGACGCGTCGGCAGCGCCGCCTTGCACATCGACAGCCACACAGGCCCCCAAATTGCAGCTCTCAAGCCGGTTTGAGAGGGAGACACGCTTCCACCCACTGAGCTCCAGCGCGCGGATAATGTGACCGTACGGACGACGGCGGCCAACAAGACATTGAGCGCTACTGTTCTCCCCGAAAAGGCTCCAACACGTGCGCTGTTGCGCGCTTTCAAAGGCAACCTGAGCAGTCCGACTGGTGGCTTCAGCAAACTGCTGGACCTGCCTGCGTAGCTCCTGCTCGTCAAACCAAATAGGGCTGATGAAAGCATGGCTTCCGCTGCGTACTGTTTGGGCGCGGGCGCCCTGGCAGGCGCCACCATGTACATCGGCAGCCACACAGGTTCTGCGGCAGTGCCCGCAGGATTTGCGCACCAGGAAAGAGTGATTCAAGCAGAACCAAGAACCACAGCCACGACAAGCCTCCATGAGACGAGAAGTTACGACTGCGCTCCTGCGGCAAAGATGGCACACAGTTGCGCCGTGCTGAGGCACGTGGGAAAGTGTAGGGCTGATGACGGGAGACGTGCCGCGAACACCAAGTCGGCCCGTCACAAAGACTTTGCCACAGGGGTGAGGCGGCTGGGCCAGGAATTCAGCCTTAACCTTGACGCTGGCATCTCCCAGAAGCAGGGCAGCACCTTCAGCCCCCCACCGGAGGCAAACACTGCAAGGTGTGATTGGAGACTGCTGAAACTTAGAAGGCAGATCAAGAAAATTGCACACTGCATCTTGCGCATTGCCGGTGTGGAAAGCCACGCAAGCACGCGGCGAGAATGGAGCGTGCACACGAAACCAGCCAGCGCCCAGCGGGGAGCAGAAACCAACCACGAGCTCACGAAGATGGCTTTGCAGGTCGAAGGAAAAGCACGCCTCGCCGAAAAGCGGCTGCTGCGAGGCCCACACAAAGCAGAGCGGCGCTGCTGAAATAAAGCGGCCGGTCCACTGAAATGTGGCAAACGGAAGAACTGTCAGAGTATCGGCAAGGCCCCAGTACGGCACGGAGACGGCGGCAGATTCCTGCCATAACGCGAGAGCAGGGAGGAGCTTGCGCCAACCGCGCAGCCCGACAGACCTAAAATCCAGACTCAAGCCACGCCAGTTCTGCGGGCAAAGAACAACAGCTCCGACTTCCTTGGAAGATAAACGTAGACTGCGAAGCGCAGAAGCCGTGGCAAGAAACGAGACCACCTCAGACCAGGCCCAGACTGGCAGCGCGCCGCCAAGCTGATCCTGCCACCTCCGCGCACGTGCTGCTTCCAGTAAGGCATTTGTTTCCCTAGGCAGACGTGGCACGTCGAAGACTTGCAAGCCCTCCTCTGGGTGCATGCAAACAACGTGCAGCCCAACAACAAGCTGCTGGTAGTAGCGCTCAAGAATTGCAGCATACAGGTTGAGTTGCAGGCGATAATGCCACCACGCGCTGTCTGGTATGTGCTGAAAGGGTGGCAGCATGACCCTGCCAAAGGCACGGGCTTTGGACACAAGATGCTTGGTTCGCTTCCAATCAAACAGAACCAGCTCGCCATCCCTACGGCGAGCGGCACAGTCAATGCAGCCGGCCAGAGCCTCCTCCGTAGCGTAAACTCGCCATTCGGTGCGGTACACTTGCAGATCCCGGGCAAGCAGATGGTCACGCACGAAGTGAAGAAAAAATATGGACTCTATGCTGCGGCTAGAAACGATTCCACCATTCAGCAGGCACTCGACTTGCGCATGCATCCATGTTCCGCGCGCGGCACCACATCGCCGGGCGGATGCCCACTTTTGCAGTATGTCTGCGTCGCTAAGTGTGATCATGCCCAGCACACTGGCACCATCGGCCCGCTCTGCCAGAAGCTGCTTTGCGCAGAGAACCACTGCCTCCTCGTCCAAAGGCAGCGCCTGAAGCTGCGCGCGCAGGGCTTCAGTACCAGGAATGCTGGCCATTGCGGCCAGCAAATCGAGAGACGCATATTGCACGATGTAGCCAGCCCTGGGCCAGTTGCTCCCTTCACGCATAGCCCGTATTACTGCCAAGCTATCAAAAGGTCTTGAGAACGAGTGAATGAGGCCTGTCACAGACACAGGCACCGGCTGCCCCTGCCACCTGTACACATGCGAGGCAGGATCAAAGGTGAGGTCGGGGTCGCGTGAGTGACTGTGCAGGGCTGCCAGATGGTCAAGGACAGGCGGAGTGTTGAGAAACTCCGTATCCCAAAGTGCGGGCTCTGATGTCAGCCTGGTACGAGGGAAGCGTCCAGACCACATGGGCGAAGGCAACGCGAAATGCAAGTCATGGTCATACAGCGACAGGCTGCCTGCAGGGGGACTGCATCCTTGCGCTACAGCGTGGCTGGAGGCGGCCACGCCGCGCGCAAACTCTGGAGACTCCAACGCTGATGGAATCATGCTGCCTAGCACGTTGAAAGTCACCAACCTTTCTGCGCCTGGGAAAGCCACGATTCGAAGTTCGGCCTGCGCAAGGCGTGCTTCTAGCAATAGGGCGTCGTCTTCACACGCGCCCAGCCGCAGCTGCTGGCGTCGCAAGGCTTGCACACGGCGGAGCTCAAGGTCAAGAGTGCTTCCGGCCAGGTAGTCGGGCCACCATGTGTCCTCAACGCAACCAACACAAACTTCTGGGCAGGAGAAACCATGCGCGCTGCAGTACCACTGTTCACACGCCAGACAGCAAAGCTCCGCCGCAACTGCCGGCTTCGCGCAGTGTGCGCAGGAAGGTGCACCCCTCCAAGACCTCGCCGGGCGCGGCTCTACTGAGAACCCAGCGCCAGAGGCCAAAGGGTGGGCCAAGCATAGGACCTTCACGAAGGCCCAAGGAGGCAGCTGCACATGCGGCTGCAGCGCAACAGGAGCAAACGTGTGACCATTCACCGACACCCGGAACATGTCGGGGCCCCACTCCAGCAGCACTGTCAGATGTCCGGGGCGCAAAACAAACGGCAACAGCTCTGGCTGGCCCTGCCGATAGTACTGAAACCAAGCACGTTCAGTAAACAAGTCACCGAGCACTAGGCCTGTGCGACCACGCAATGGGGCCCGGTTTCGAGCGCAACGTGCTCCGAGAACTAGGTGCGACGCTAAGCGAGGCAAACAAATTTCTAAGCTGGCCATGCTGCAGCAAGGGTGCAGAGCAATCCAAGAAAACCGGGCAAGGGCTTCTGGGTGATGGAATTCAGGCTTGTAGCGACCCTGCCAGTGCGCAAGAAACACAGCAGCGCTGGCAGGAACGCAGAGTATCTGCGAATGTCTGATGTGGACAACGGTGTCCATGCTCAAACCTCCGAGCAGGCGCTGCGCTGCCTGACTGCGTGTGCACTGGCTGCTAGTGTCTTGAGCTAAAATGCTGTTCTGTCTCCAGGTTGCGCTTTGCAGGATTAGTTCCCACCATGCTCGGTTACTTCGCCCAAGATGCACCAGGCTTTGCAGATCTGCAACTTGCTGCGCCGCGTTGCGCAAGACTTCCAACGGCAAGTCTGCAAAATCTGGCAGTCCGCCGGCTTGCATGTCGACCGGACAGCCGCTGCAAGTGGTATGAGCAGCGCACTGCCACGTGTTGCAGACGCGGCAGCAGTGACAAGCTGCTGCGGCACACACCTCGCACGAAGGCGGCAGGGGCACACTCCGCACTTCACTGGGCAGCAGTGTTGCACTGAAGGTTGCCGAAGAGATGTGATCCCCTAGACAGTGCATGTACAGGTAGGACCATGTGGCCACGTCCACTGGTCTGACATGCGCGATTGGAAAACCGTCTATGCTCAGGTCACAGGAGTCGCTTGTCCAAGACAACTGCAAAGTGTGCAGGGGCCAGTCAAAAAGTCCGCAAGCAGAAGGGCCTCCCCAATCACCAGCTGCAAACCTGTCTGCCTGACCAACCGAGACGGTCATCTGGGACTGCAGGGGATTGCGAATGTCGATCCAACATGCATCGCTGACGCCAGGCACAACGACTTGCTTGGGCTTGAGCCCGACAATCAAGCGGGAGGCCGGCTGGCGCAGCTCAAGGCGAATGTTGGCGGGACTGCACAGAGGACCAACTGAATGGAAGTGGGCCATGGGCGCAGGCAGCATTCGGAGTGTAGCACGGCAGCGCCACTGCAACAAGACCCGGGCCGCCTGACAGCTGGCCTGCAGGAGCTTGGCGTCATCAACAACAAGGCTCACGCATGCCCCATGCCAGGTGTGCGCGCTGTTGATGAGTGCGCGCACACGGGAGCAGGTTGCACGCAGAGCACACAGTTCAGGGTAGGAAGCCGCATAATGGAGGCTGCAGACCAG